GTATAAGCAGAAGGATAAAATGTCATATGGCCTCTTAATTACCACCCAGTTAGTTATGTTCCCCGTTTAATTTTCTTCTAATATTTTAACTTATTACAAAATTTCAACAAAAGAAAAGTAAAAATGTGGCTACATATTGATTTCAATGCTATATACACGAACATGCAAGTTTCTAAGAACTATACATATACTTCAACTAAAGCAGACAAAATAGCCAAGTTAGCACCCATTTGCAGGTGGCATCTAAACACCACATGATTTAATGTTAAAAACACTGTAAGATCTTCAATCCGTTGCATTACAGGAGATGAATGTTCATACTTCCAGTGTTGAAATATCAGTCTTTTAGCTGCAGAATGGTGCAGATAAATCTGTTCTGCATTGACTAGGCATTAACTTCCAGGAAGTAGGTCGATAATTTAAAAGAGCATGTACTTCAGCAGATATTAAAGAGTGTTCCAGTATAAAATTTTTGGAATAATGTCCTCCACTTAAAAAGGAGCAACTCTTGGGCATTTGCTGGACATATGCTATGTTATACCGCCAATAATTAGCTAACCTAAACACTTATTAAACAGTTGTGATGTTCAATACACATAGAACAAGATTTGTAGTGACCAAGAAATAATCCAAGATCCACAGACCCATCAGATACAGACATCAAAAGAGCAATTTCCTATTCCATACCTGTTTAAGATCCTGCATATCATATTTAATCAGCAGTAATAAGTATCAATAGACATGTTTCATAGGTCAATTTATATGACTGGCTGCAATAAGTGCTTTCAATAGCAGGGAAGAAACTGAAGTTGGAAAAGCAGCAGGGCAAAACCTAGGTGCTAACAAATGTTGCAACTGCAAGTGCTGTCATTCAGCTATGGCTGGCAAATAACATTTAGCTTGCAAGATAGAGAACAAAAACTCATCAGCTACATCTACCAGTACAAAAACATTTTCTTTCCAAAGTTTAAATCTGAATTTCCCCATAACATCAATAAAGCATGAGAAAACAGCTCAAAATGAAACTGACATAATATTATATGCCATATGTCTCTAACAGCAGTAACAAAGGGAGGAACCCTATCTGTTTTAATGCAATTCATTTGGAGAAAGGATTCAGACAGAAGATTTCCTAAACTGACCATGGTGGAAAATCAAACTTTACTGGAAAAGGAAAAATTCAATAAATTAGCCAATAAATAAGCTCAATAATATAAAGCAACATCCAGAAAACTAAACACATTGTCCTTAATTGGAATTATCTTTTCAAAGATAATTATGGTAGGCAGGACCCCCTCACACACAAAAGTTTTAAACTAAAGTACTGAGTTTTTGAAAATATTTTGCAGGCTGAAAGAATCCAACTTTTAACAAACAATCCAAGGCATAATATTCATCTAAAGTGATGCCCATCTATCTAAATTCCAGGAGATCATAATCAGTTTATTTGGGTTAACGAACATTTGAGATACCACTGGGAAGAAGTATTCCCAAATAATATATATGTAAATTAACATCAGGATACCACTGAAGTTGCTGATATATAGTCTCTCTGGTAGATATCAGTTTACATGTTGACCAATTAATTGAAAAGGTAGGTGAATAACCAGAAATCTTAACTGCTTCAAAGCTGAAACAAAAGACTGGAGCTTAGAAATAAACAATAAAAGATAACCAGTGCAAAGAATAATTTTAAATTCTAAACCATCATTCACAAAGTTATGTATATTATTATATTAATGCCTCTCTGAGGGACGGCAGGGTACCTGCTCCTCTAAAGGAGGCGGTAGTCAGGCCGGTCCTAAAGAAGGCGTCCCTGGATCCAGAGATGGCCGCCAATTATAGACCGGTGGACAACATCCCGTTTTTGGGTAAGGTGTTGGAATGGGTGGTGGCGAGACAACTCCAAGCATTCATGAATGAGACTGACTATCTGGACCTATTTCAGTCCGGCTTCAGATGCAGGAATGGTACTGAATCTGCCTTGGTCGCCCTGTATGATGACCTGTGCAGGGAGAGAGACAGGGGGAGTGTGTCCCTCTTGGTCCTCCTGGACCTCTCAGTGGCTTTCGATACCATCAACCATGGTATCCTTCTGGATAGGCTAGCGGGACTGGGAGTAGGAGGCACTGCTTGGCAGTGGTTCCACTCCTACCTCGACAGCCGATTCCAGAACGTGGTGCTGGGGGACTTGGCTCTGCGCCATGGCAGCTATGCCATGGAGTACCGCAGGGGTCCATTCTGTCCCCCTTGCTATTCAACATCTACATGAAACCATTGGGAGAGGTCATCAGGAGGCTTGGGCTGCGGAATCATCAGTATGCTGATGATACCCAGCTCTACCTCTCTTTTTCAACTGATCCAGGTAAGGCAGTGGCTGTACTGAACTGCTGCCTGGCTGACATAATGGGCTGGATGAGGGCCAATAAACTGAAACTCAATCCAGACAAAACAGAGATCCTGTTGGTGGGTGGTTCGGGCTCCTGGGTAGGTGACTTGGACCTTGCCCTGAAAGGGGCTGCATTCCCTCTAAAGGACAAGGTACGCAGCTTGGGAGTGCTCCTCGACCCAGAGCTGACCCTGGAAGCTCAGGTGACTGCAGTGGCGAGGAGCACTTTCCTTCAGCTTTGGTTAATACATCAGCTGTGTCCCTACCTGGAGGACGATTGCCTAGCGACAGTGACACATGCATTGGTTACTTCCCGGTTGGATTTCTGTAACGTGCTCTACGTGGGGCTGCCCTTGAAGACAGTCCGGATACTTCAGATGGTGCAAAATAGAGCAGCCAGGTTGCTGACGGGGACTGGGCGTTACTCTCATATAACCCCAATCCTCTACCAGCTCCACTGGCTTCCCATCGAAGTCCAGGCTCAATTCAAGGTGCTGGTTATTACCTATAAAGCCCTTAACGGCTTGGGACCTGGATACCTAAAGGAACGCCTTCTTCCGTATTTGCCCTCTCGCCCCCAGAGATCAGCAGCAGAGGCCCTCCTCCGGGAACCCTCCGTGAAAGACATTAGGAGGCAAAGTACCCAGAGGAGGGCTATCTCTGCGGTGGTGCCCCGCCTATGGAATGAGCTCCCCAGAGAGGTCCGCCTGGCGCCATCGTTATTTGTTTTTCGGCGCCAGGCTAAGACCTTTTTATTTCAACAATATTTTAATAACTTTTAACATCAGCTTATAGGTTTTAATCTGCAGCCAGGGTGGATCTGGATTTTATTTGTATTATGTTTTATTTTGTTTAAGCCATCCCGAAACTATGCGATGGGACAGCATACAAATACTCTAAATAAATAAATAAATAAATAAAAATTAAAAAAATTGAGAGCCAGTGTGGGGCAGTGATTAAGAGTGTAGAACTAGGGCTCAGGAGATCTGGGTTCTAGTCTCTTGTAGCCAACTGGGTCACTTCGGCCAGCCATAGACTCTCAGCTCAGCCTACCTCACAGAGTTGTTGCTGTGCAGATAAGATTGAGAGTAGCAGGAAAAGTATTATCTAAGCCACTCTAAGTTCTTTGTAAGAAAGAAGGTAGGATATAAATCTAATAAATACATTCTGTCTAGTGGCAGAGGTTCCAAATATAAATCAGGTCTCAGAGGAGAGAGTGGACATCCCTGCCTGGTACTTGCCCTGAGTGAAAATTAAAGGGAAAAAGGATATAAGTTATATCTACAGCACTGGAGATTAAGTACAGAATTCTGACTCATTTCAGGAACTGAAGATTCTTTCTCTTTTTTAACCCCACACACAGCAGGCATATGTAAGAATTTTGGCACAAAATAGCTAGGTGGGTATTTAAACCCTCCTCCTTCCTGGAGCACCATACTTAGTAAGGGACTCATGAAAAGTTTGGCCCTTACTTAATTCTGCATAGGTATATGCAGCCCCAAATCAGATCAAGAGCATGGTATTCAGAGAGGGAAGCATTGTACTCCTCTCCCACTCCCAGTTTTCATACTGAAATTTCACCCCACATCTAATCATGGGTGGGGGTGTTTAAAAAACAACAAAAAACTTTCACTGGAGCGTTCTCTCTCCCTCTCTCTCTCTCTCTCTCTCTCTCTCTCTCCTCTCTCTTTCTCTCTCTCTCTCTCTCTCTCTCCTTTTTTTCTATCTATCCATCATGTAGTGACATTCTGCCATGAAAACCAAGGGAGGGTTTTCCCTCCCTTCTGCTCCGGGATAAGCATGATCTTCATCCACACTGAGGCCTGATCCAGAGAACTTCTCTATCTCCATGACTCTCTTGTTTCCACAATGTGAAAAAGGTGAGGGAATGTTCAGCCAAAGCTGTCACTGCCTCTCCCTGAATCTTCTAAGCCTCTGCTTTTATTTATTCATTTTGAAAGACTGAGCAGGGACTGGCTTGCTTGGTGTACTGCCTGATAAGGAAGGGATGAGAACAATCCATGGAGATTTAGTGATTTTATTAATTCTTCAGCTCCCAGAGAAATAGCGCTATTGAGAAATTCTAGCTTTCACGGGTGCATTCAAGAGATTGCTCCTGCCAAGAGCCACTCCCCTTGTCCTTACATACATACTTGCCATTAAAAGCAGCAGAACCACGTATACACACACATTGCTCGGAAGCAGGCTGATGATATGCAGATATCCTCATGCACACTCAGAATGTTCCACCATGCCAGCAACCCCACCAGAAAGGAAGATGAAGACAGGCCACACTGTGTTTTACAACATATTTTAAAGATTTGCTGGCTCTGAGGTGACTGGGGGAGGTGGAAAAAGGGGACGGGAAGTTGAGAAAGTGCCAGGCCATTCACTGCCCCCCAGCCCCTTCTGGCAAGTGATGGCTGGTTGGGCTCTTTGGTCCTCCAGTTGTTATTGTTCTGAGAGGTGATAGAGCCAGTGGGGAACCCTTGGTTTTTCAGAGTCTACTTTCCTCAAAGGTTGTAAAATGTGACCCTCACACCTCCAGACTGAAGGCCTCACTCCCTTCCTGCCATTTCCCCCACCCCACCCTTGCCCCCCAGACACTTACCAGAGACAGTCACTACAATGTACTGCTGTGGGGCTGGTGTTGGTGTTTGCTGTCCAGTGGGTGGAGCCTGTGTCTGGGAAGGCGGGATTTCTGAGACATACTGTTTTGGAGTGGGCTGCTGCTGCTGTGCACCTTGCAATTCTGCCACATACTGCTGCTGAGCTGCTGCTGCCACCACCACAGGTGCCGCTGTGGCCGCCGTCGCTGCTGGCTGTTGCTGTGACTGTTGCTGCTGTTGTGACTGTTGTTGGGCTGCCTGTAATTCCGTTACGTACGCCTGTGTTGCCATGCCAACAGTGGGGAAAATGATAATAAATAAGGCTTTTTTTTGGCTTCCTTTCGTTGAAGAGGAAAAATAAATAGAACAAAAAAGAAAGAAAAAACACAATTAATCAATTATAAAGCATTTCACAGAGAGAAAAAACTCCCTACAGTTCTATTCACTGAGCACTAGCTTAATAATACACCATGCTTAACACCCAATTACAGTCAATTACTGAAAATAATAGAAGTAGGTACACTGATTACTTTATGTGGAAGTTCAGCCTGGAAATCTGACAGGCTAGAACACAACACTTTGTATTTACCCAGGTGTAATCTGCATGACTGCACAAGCCACATCTCTAGCATTCTTCCCATCCACAAACACATACCACACACATAACACCCATAACCTTCAGAAATGCTATTTCCCTCCACTGCTCAATAGCTCCAGCTCACGTTAGATGGGGAACTAAGAACCAAGTACAAGCTATGTAATCCCCAGGGTGGAAAGATGTATGTTTGAAAAACCCAGAGTCATATTGCTGCTTATTTGGCAAGTAGTGCTCCCATATTTCTTGTGCTGTACTCAGGAATGGAGCTAAGAGCACACAAGTTCCTGTTTTGTGAATGGAACTCTAAATTTGTATTTATGAAAGGAATCCAATACCTTAAAAATGGCCTTTGGTTTTAAATGCAGTCCATGATCTAAATTTAAATACACACACACATACACCACCACCCCCATATCAATAAAATAAATTATATGGGTATTTATTCTAGTCTACTCATTTAACATTTATCTGTTCACTTGGAATGAACAACAATCACCTCCAAGTAACCCAAGTAAAGTTAGAAAGAGATGCCTGCACACAGTGTCCATAACAAGTAAGACTGTGCTATAGAGGCTACATGTATATGCCTCAATTAAAAACTGTAAGTCCCAGTCCTTTACAAGTACCTAATACTACAGGAAACCTTCCAGAATATATCTTTATAGTTTTCAAAACATCAGAAGAATACAATATTTTTTTTATTAAGAGACAAAAACTTTTATCAGGATTGCATGTCATGAATTATATGACATAAACTGTTCAGTTCAGGACTGGATTTTCAATGTGTCTTCAAAGCAAACAGATGTTTTGGAAAGCAGAAAGGAAATCCAGCTGCTCTGATTCTTTATCCAGTAACAGTGGCACAAAGTTACAGACAGAGGACAAAAGCCTAAAGGGAAACCATAAGCTACAATAAGACCAATTGCAATTTCCTGACTAGGATGAAAACAAACATCAGAAACACAGGCCCTTTCTAACAAAGTAATACACTTGTCCTTAATTAATGGCTAGCTTTTTCTTTGGGTCTATTTGGCAATATTTAATAATACAGAAAGTGACACACATCTGTTCTCCTTCACTTCACTGACAGGGCACTGTATAAAAGAAAGCAAATCTTGCTATTTTTACACTTAAAGTTGTTTCTCAAATGTGGAAAACAATCAGGCCACTCTTAATGCCATGTTTAGGGATGGAAATCAGATGACTTGTGTTGTTCACCAGTGGTTTCTCTAAACACCTCTGTGAAACACAGGAATTCTTTGGAATCCTTAATGGGCTTTCACAACCATGGCTTATTCTGATCATGTGAACCAGATCAGTGAGAACATCAACAATGCAAGATCAGCTTCCCTCCCAGACAGCTTGCCTACAACTGTGAATCTTCACTTGCAATGTGAAATTTCAAGGGAATGGCACAGGTTTTTCAGAGTACACTCTTGCTTCATATAAGGCAAGACAACCACTTCCAACATTATCTTTTTTTAGCTGCATAAGGAAGTATGCAAACAAAAATGCATTTGTTTTGCAAAAATTTCTAATACATCGTACATGTTAATCAGAAAAGCAGAAGTGGCTATTGAGGATCCAGCTGTTTGTAATCCTGGGCCTGCTGTCAGTACACATAGGATGGCCCCAAGTATACATTCTAGACTATATCCCCAAACCTTTCAGTTAGGAGTTCCATGGCAGCCAAGTTTATGTAGGAAGCTTTCCCTGCAAGCAGAATGTTTGAAAGCTACACTGTTCTTCAATCTTATTTCCCTTGCATAAGAAATGTGTCTGAGATATCACAAGAGAAATGGTATTGCTTTTCACAGGATATCTAATGTATACTATCTTTCCAATTACACACAACTTTTATTGGGATTATGTGAAAGTACTGAGTAAACAAGATTTCTCATGATGAGCTTAAAAAAAATTTAAGGACAAGGATAGAGCTTCCACTAGAAAAGCTCATTCCTCCTATTGCCACCATTCCCTCCTGATCTACATATCCAGTAGAGCATGAGAAAGAAAATAAGAATAGTACTTTCAGTAGGCCAATCTGCAGGGAGTTGGAATTCACTGATCTTTGCATCAGACAGGCATTTCCATCTATGCTGTATGAACAAAGTTCATATTTTAAAGCAATTCTAGATTGCTTTACACACGCAGTAGACAAAGGAGGTCTTACTGTTGTTATGCAGAAAATTATTAAAAATATCCCACAGCTGCACTCTAACAAGATACATTCCATTTGGTAACTTTATTTGGATGCACGTGTAGAACAAGCTATAGTTGCTTTATCAGGTAGCTTTGCTCAGATAAAGCCTTTCCAATCTAACTGATTGGAGTGTAAGTTCAGTGTAACTCTCCCATTTGCAAGAGTACAGTGCAATCACAAATATATAAAGATATACACACAACAAGTCAGTGATATATGCAAGAAATAATCAATCCCATTTTAGATGCTATGTGTCACCACCTAAAAAGCAAAACACATAAGCAGCAAAAAAACACCACTTAGATAAAGTGAAGGACAAAAAACAATGGCTGAAGTAATCAGAACATTTATCTCAGAGCATAGGAGGCTACCTACTTGAAGTACATGACAGGAAGAGCACACCCTTTTTCCTCCATAGATGACCTCAGAGACAGAATGTTGACTCACAACCTTGCATCAAGCTATCTTTATACTGTTACAACTAAACAAGACTTTGCATTCTAGGAATCCTGAAAGCAAAGAACACATGAGCCTTGGCAAGAAAAGCACTGAACATGTCATTGTCTAACCTGAGAAGTTAAGTCTGGCGGCCATATCCATTCCAGTCTCCTATCCAGTAAGCCTCTATACTCAAGGCCAAGAACCCTTCTAGTTGAAACCTGATGGGGCCCACCAGATGCTAAACAAAAGACAACATGTGATCTCTGGCTTAGTTCCTTCTTTGGTACGTCACTTCACCTGTGCCCAGGAAGTCTTCTGAAGGAAAGAAGACAGCCTCTGTTTCTGGAGGAAACAGAACTGTCATTCTGCACTTCAGAAACACACTGCACTGTAGAGTTTGGTGCCCCAAGAAATCCTGAGACATTGACTAATCTGTGCAAACTCTCAATATTTGTAACACAGCTCTGCATAGGGAGCCAAAGGGCAAGAAACATTTTGGCAATAATTCTTAGGACTGCATACATCACCTGCATACATTCACCTATCTACAGTAATCTCCTTGCTAGCAAGGATGCTCCTCTGTCTGTAGCACACAGGCTTCTCCATAAACTCAATAGTTCAAATACCAGGAGCAAAGCACCATTCCTTTTAAGTGTCCAGATCAACTTACCCAACATGGCTATGTAGATGCAGTAGTCTTGGTGCTATTGTGAAATTCAGGTCATGGCAGCTGCCACTGTAGAGAATTATTATTTAGGATGGGTGATCTGGCCTCTTCACTTTAGATTGGATAATGTTGCAAAATCCCTGAAGATTTTGACACAGTGAGTCAGTAATTCCTGTGAACTTCTTTATGTGAAGTAGTTGCTTATTTGAATTGCTTTTTGTGGCATCAAGGGTGCTTCCACACTAAAGCTCTTTTGTACAGCTAGCTAAGAGCTCTTGCACATGATGGAATGGAAGTAGAACTGTAATTATGCGTCCACACAACACCTCACACTGTTCCATCAGCATACCAAAGGCAAAAATGAATGGTAATTATTGAACTGGTATGGGCTACCTTACCACCAAATCTTGAGAAAGTTTACTCAGAAATGAGTTCTATTCAATTCGATCTGCTTACTCATAACTGCAGCATTTAATCAGTGAAGGACTCTCCTTTGATATGGATTATCTTTCTTCTGAAATGGTTTATTCCACTCAGCCCCATTTTCCAAGGTCTTCTTTTTTCAATCCACTCATTTCCTTCTTTTAAATTTTGTTTTTGATTTGTTTCCTTGTGACTAATCAGCGAACAGAAATTGTTTACCTTTAAATCAAATTATGTGCTTGCCAAATGAGGCTGATCAGCCTGGGCCTCCCTGCCCACTCCTCTCCCAAGAGAAGGAAATGTAATAGTCCAAACAAAGATACACCCATGGGAATTGAAGAGGCATGACAAACTGTCTAAATCTCTAATATGTCACTACTCACATCAAAACCAGACTTCTTAAAAATGAAACAATAGTGTTAAAGTCCATTGTTTCAGGAGATTCTGCTTTTCTTTTGGATTAAAAAAACAGTGTTTTTCCTTGTTCAGAAAAAAGTCAGAAAAATCTTAAAAAAAAAAAAAGAGGGATTACAAATGAATTACAACATGATAGGAATTTCCCATAGAATGTGAATGAATCAGTCGTGGTAAATACACAATAAATCCTTGTCCTGAATAGCCATAATCTCAACTCTGAGCAGGAAAGCAGAGTCTATTACAATGATTTGTGCAGTCCTTAGTTCCTTCCATCCCCAGTTTCACAAATAACAATCTTAATGCTATTTTGAACACTAGAGTCTGCTTATTGGCTCCTCTGTTAGAGTCTGTGCCTGTAGACTCCTCTTTTACTGCCTGTTGGGGCTCCCTGCTCCTTGCTATTTTAATCCTTGAGAATGTTTCAAATTAAACAAAAAAAAAATCAACTGAGAAGCCAGTATAATTGAACCCAAAGGGCTACCATCTAGCATCAAATTTATTTGGGTCAAAACAGTACTTCTATTTTTTTGAGCTCAGACACTACCTCTGTCTTGTACTTTCTTGGGCACATGATTTAAAGTGCTTTAAA